CACTTATGCCTGCACAAAGTGTTTTCTTATTGAAATTGTTTTAGTCGAGTACCTGTTCTCGGCTTGTAAGTTGGAGTTATTTGAGATTCTTCTTCACTAATATGTAGTTTAGGTGGTTTGGTCTACGCTCTACGCTATAACTGGCGGTTGTTGTCTAGAAATGTACACTGCGAAATATAGTCCGCATTAAAGCACTCAGTCTTCCTAAACTTTTCTGACACAATTGATCGAATCGATTTGATGTCAGAAATACGTATGTATTATAGAAAGCAATATGTTTTTGATCTTGAAACTTGTGTCACATATTTATGTACAGTGATCCCGTTTTTCTCATATCCTAAGTGACTAGTGGCTAAAGAATAGAATTTTTTTTTATTCTATATGAGTATTATGTCTGATAAATTACAAAAAAACATTTCGAAGACATAAAGTCCACGAACATGCATTGGAGTAGCGCGTCGAACATTTCCTTGCTCTAAATCCCTCTCAAAAATTACTATATAACTAAACGAAGTAACTTTAATTTGCAATATACGTAGTACTTAATGCTTAATAAGTCATGTTTACCGCTAGTTATGAATAAAGACTGTCCTGGGAATCACCAGCAAAAGACACAGAGAGACTTTTTCGAATAATAGATTACAGTGTACTGCAAACTTGATTATTAAAAAAAAATACCATTTGGAACAACATGGTAACGATCACTTCTTTCCAAGAGAGATCTTTTAAAACACAATTCTGGTATACACTATTACTTGTAAAGGCCGTTTTCCAGTAATGTATCCACCAAGCCGACACAACAGCCGGCTAATGGAAACTTGGCGATCGTCGCCGATTTTTTGCACGATGTGTGAGTGTTTTTGTATAAAGCTCTGGACACGTACCAGAGATTGCGTTTTCTTTAACGAAATAACTTCTATGTAAGACTGTTTACTTATATAGTATTAACTGGATTCTTTATTTTATTTTCTTTTTAGTTTTTTTTTTATCGAACGGATCTTGAACCACCTGTGTTACACTGAATTCTCATTAAGTGGGTACATATAGGCACAAAAAGTCACAGCTATTTTTTGGATTCAATATATTTAGCAATTATTTCATATATTATTCATATACATAAATATAACATTTCGAAATTATATTTCTGGTTGGAAATGCAAGATGTCGATGGATACATACATGGTGCTTTGTAGCATTCCGAAAAATTAGTAAAAAAAAATATTTTATTGATTTCACTGCTGGTGTAGTCTCCACTCCATTTACATAAACGTTTGAATTGTATCGTTCTAGTAATTTGTTTTATTTTAACAATTGCGTATGTAAAAATAATTTTACAGATTTTATAGCGTTTAATTTTAACAACAAAATTTTTTAATGTGAATGGTGTGCACATGCCTCTATAGTATCCATTACAGTTTTTAATAGTATTCTCTTAACAGTTACGTGTCGGAGCGCCTTCTGCCGTCAGCGGTATCATGTACCCTTTTCACGGTAATAATGGTGACATTTTGTACATTTGTTAACTCGGTTTTTTCTGATACCTGTCCCAAAACGCAATCGAGTATCGAAAATTCAACTTTCAACATAAATGGGAGCATAAAATAAAAGATCTTAACGAGGACGGTGGATGAAAAATCGCATACTCCAATACACTCGTTACAGCAGATTAATTTACAGGTTGTAAATTTAATAGGAGAATACTGTTGTTATCTATAGACTCTGTTAATCATATCTGAAATAAGGACAGAGTGTAAAATATATACGTCTGTATCTTTCGTCTATCAAGTCGGTCAAACATTATCGAACTACCGGCGCGAGTGGGAAATGCTAATTCGATAATCGGCCGTTTCCTTCTGTCGATCATTGTTACTGCCTGAAGTGGTTGAAGTGTCCCATCCTCATTTGGATTTGTGTGGTAATGACCGAAATGTAAATGACTACATGCGTATTTTCATTTTACGGAGGATAAAGAATGCGAAAATATATATTGACGCATCTTGAAATAATTCGTTTCACATAATTGAACATAATTGTGTAGTAGCATGTAAGTGTGTATACAACACAAAACAAAACATATGTGCTGACCTAGAAGTGTTAATAATATCAATATTTAAATATTATTATCGCGTCTAAATTGAGATTTTGTAAATTACGCCTTTTGACACTTGGCTCATATCTGAGGTCATTGTCCGTTTTTCTCAATCGATTTGGCACATAATATAGTGGTGATGTCAGAATTTCCACTACCCCATATGATCTCGTGGGTGACATAAAAGGCGACATTAAGAAACTAAAACAGGAAATGGGTAGCAGCGTTTTTTTTCATATCAGCTCAAAAATAATAAAATAACTGCGGTTGCCAACCCGCCTTCGAAGCCTGGCTAAAGAACTACCATGCGGAAGACCTTTGTTCAGTTGTGTGTTTACAGGCTGTAAGGGATAAATATATTTTTTAAATTAATTTACTAAAAAATTAAGCGAGAAAGTTGTAAAATAACACACTACGTTTAAATGTTTTTGTAATATTGTAATAATATTAATGCTGAGCTTTTGTCGAAAGCGGTAAAAAGACAAAGCAACTCAAAATGTGGGTTACACTTACACCGAAATCGATTTGCTTACTTTCGATACCAAATTAATATAAGCTTTGCTCTGAAGCGACTTATAATTTTTAAAGCTTCTAGAAAAAAGCTCTAACAATTATAAGTAGTATTAAGAGGTGAGAGTAAGTCAACTCAAATTCTAATTTCGCCCCCACTTCCCCGCGCGTCGTATGCTATGTACCGACATGTTTGTAATCACTAATACTGTAAGTAGAAAGGTCGTTAGATACTTATTTCATTATGTTTATCATATATATGCCTGTTTCTTAACGCCAACCCAGTCGCTTCTTATTTTTATAACGGTTATTTCCCATTTTAATTTTACGTCTTCCTGTTGCGTAATGTGTTTTCTGATCGTAAGCGACACAACTTCTCCCTTCAAAAGCCGGAGCAATACTAACGGAACGACAGGAACCAAGCTTACGCGCCGATAGTTTAGGTAATTTCTTTTTTACAGTGAAAATAATGATATTTTAAAAAAAGTAAATAACATAAGCACTGCTTTATGGTTAGTTCAGTTAGTATGCAAAGTTTCATGATCTTATTTAGAGTATTTTATGAATAACAGCGGTTTATTGTTCAGTTTGGAGGTAACTTTGGATTTTTTTTCTATCGAGAAAATTTTACGGAATCGTGTTTTCGTCTAACATAAACCTTAACATTAATCCTCAACTTTACCATATATTTATTTCAAAATTAATGCTGCAATACTTTCGGCATAACGGAGGATCTTGCTAAGCCATTTGAGGTTATATTTCCCCTTAAAACTCCAATAATATGCTTATGTTGCCAGTATAGTAAATTACAATATGATGTAAATATTTGTTACATAGAATAAATTGGATAATCTTAAATTACAGACAATATTTCCTGATGAAAAAATAGGTACAAGTGTATACTTAGAGGCAAATAGAGTTGAGTTTGTAGATTAAATTTTACAAATAGACGGAAGGGCGAGTGTTCGTTATTGCTCCTCGACGATTTTCCAACGAAGTTCGAGCTTGAAATAATTCACAAAGAAAATAAACTTTCTCGTGAGATTTGACTTTGAAATTATTACGTGGTAGAGCCATGTTGCAGTTATATTAGTAGTATAGTTGTAGCACGTATGCCCCTATTTCTAGTGTAGAAAAACCCCCTCCCTTTTAAAAATAAAAAAAATTATGTCCACTCGCTGCTTTTTGTAGTAATTTACACTTAAATAATTAAAAAAAAGTTACAGTTTATATACGTCCTACTGTTGGGGAGTCCCCTCCTCTAATTTCTGAGAGATTTTTAGGCTTTTAGGGCAAGGAAGTGTCCAACACGCTGGGGCCATCGGGGCTGCACGCGTACTGTTAAATTTACCGCGAGGGCTTAGCCCTTGAGCTACAATGAAACTTACTAAGCTACTTGAAATAAAAAAATTTACGTGGTAGAGCCATGCTGCGGTTATATTAGTAGTATAGTTGTAGCAAGAATGGGTCGGCTCGACCGGGGAAGTACCACACTCTCACAGAATATCACCGTAAAATAGTAGCTTAATGCTGTTGTGTTTCGTATGGTGAGTGTAGAGAACCGGAAACCCTTTTTACTGGAAATGAGGCATTCCACCGAAGTCACAACACACTACATTTTGATTCGTAATCGAGGATAGATGTAGATGTCTATGAGCCACAGCAACCACTTACCATCATTTGGAATGTGTACTCGTTTGTCATCCTATCGTAATAAAAAACAATACACCATTGCTAACAATTTTTTAATGAATAATTTTTCAGTTAAATGTGATCGAAATGCAATAGTATGAAAAGCTATATTTACCAACTATCTTTACCAACTATTGTATTTTGATTATAGAGAATAACATAAAATGTAGCAAAATTTCGTTAACACTATAGAATTTTACGTACACGTTACGCTTTTGGAAGGTAAACACATATTTTATTACGATGCTAGTTCAGAAGTCGGACAAGTCACGACACTGCACTGTTACGTTAAACTGGCGGCCCACACGCAAATATAACACCAAGTGTAACCGTAATAACCTCCGATCCCGCAGAGATAATCCTCACGACGTTGTCGGTTAAATATCGACAGTTAAAGACGATAACCTCGGTGAAACTGACTATACTAAGCCTTCATTACTTTACGTTTCGTTGTCTTAATGTGTTTCTGCATAAAAGATATTGACGCATTGTGCTTTTAAATCTATTTGGCATCCTTTCTGATATTTTATAATAAAATCTTTAAGCTTTTCAACAGGAAATGACTCAAAGCTTAATTGTATATCTTTACAAATTCATTGTGGCAAGCTGAGATGATTAGAACATGAGATACATGATTGAAATTTGGATCAATATCCTAAAACGTTTCCTTTCTTCATCAGGTGTTCTTTAATTTCACTTACCGATCAAAATGACCATAGACCGAGCTGGACGGCCACCGGCTCCGCGACGAACGGCGTCAACTTACAGGAGCTATGATGAACTTGGAATTATAGACCGCGGTAGACCACTGAGATATCGTCATGGTGGAGTAGAAGATCTTAGCGGTATTGAACAACCTAGAGCTTACAGGACATACGAACCTCAAGAACTTGATAACATTACAGTGATAAGTTCGGAAGAAATTCCAAGACCTAAAAGAAAACCAATGGAAGGTCTTGCACACGGCTTTAGGAGAACTTTTTCTGTGAGAAGCAGACGCGATGAACCTGAAGGTATTCCAATGGAAACCTTTAATGTGACTTGTGAAGAAACGTTCGCGACTGTTAGGGGAGCGCCTTTTGGAAGACGCAGATCGTTATCGCGTGACAGAGGATCGTCGCTGCTCGCGAGAAGTTCATCAGAAGGCGATGTGAGGATGCCTTTACCGAGAGCTCCACCATCTAACCCAACTCCTCGCCTGCACCGCTGCCTTCGTGCTCTCGGGGGCAGTTGGAAGAATCTTCTACTATGTGAGTCACAGGACTTCTCGCCTTAATAACCCTAACTGCATAATGTAAAGGCTATCGACCTCTTAACAAGCTCGGTGCTGCAACACTATATTTAACGCCGCTAATTAACCGAGTCTTAAAATGTAATGCATTAACATAACTCTTAACCTCTAGGAATCCGGTTACGCTTTTCATTATTCTGTTATTTAAAGGCAGTTAACCGTTTACAGCTCTTGCCCTGACTAAGTTAATTATTGGTGCGACGGGTACAAATGACCGTGGAAGGCTTAGTTACTTTAGATATTTGATTAAACCGCGCATCTTACATGCATTAAAAACTTTCTTATATTTAAATTGGGCAATTGTTTATACTGGCATAAAGGAGAGTGATTGATTGGTCGAGTGCACTGAATGTCTATTTTTCATTGGTTCGCGACGCAATGGTTAAATAATGAATCTAAGCCTCATTGCGATCCATCATGATTTATTTACTGAACTGAATTGGAATCAATTCCCATTACTTATTGGGTAACTGCCGATTATCTAGTTCGATGTCTTCGAATGCATGAAGACTGTGTGATGAATTTTGACTTAGAAATTAATGTACCTTTTGCTATGTTATCGTTTCGAGTTTTTGTTTAAGACGTACTTATACTTCACCTTCATGGTACGAAATGAAGACAGAAATTGTTAAACTTGCTGCTGCTTACTGCTGAAAACTTGCTGCAAATGAAAATCAAGTAATTATCTACTAATAAAATAAGCGGTTATATAAATCTACACCATACAGCTAAGAGTAGTTTGAAATTGGAACCGAATGCTTTCTGTACTACTCATTGACAAATACCAACAATAATAGGTTGAATATCAGGACCAATCTCCTGAACGTAGGGCTCTCCCAGATTAAACGGTTTTCTTATCTACTTATATATTTCAAAAATAGTTAAATATTAAAGAACTATAAAATAAAAAAGCTTATCATATTACGAGTAGGATTTCTGCTAGCGTTAATAGATTATTTAGCCTTAGGACAAACGTAGGCGTCTCGTGTCACATGCTGAATTAATAGCGTTCCTCCAGCCTCGGGCTTATGCTGCTTTGTATGTGTATTGTACTTATTATAGGTGTACGTTATCCTATACCTTTAAAGGAGCAATTCTTCTATATATATATATATATATATATATATATATATATATATATATATATATATATATATATTCGGAATCTCGGAAACGGCTCCAACGATTTTCATAAAATTTTGTGTCCAGGGGGTTTCGGGGGCAATAAATCGATGTAGCTAGGATTCATTTTTAGAAAATGTCCTTTTGTTCTTGTTTTCGGGCAATGAAAAACTGCTACAATATAAGAAGGTAAATTTTGACAGCAAATTGACGGTCGTAATAGCTTAAGTGGGATATCAAGTGGTCGCGAAATCGGAGTGCCCTGGTTTCGAGTCCTGATTCTGATTCGACTTTTTCCTTTTTTTTCAAGTTCCCTTCTTTTGTGAGAAAATCTATTATTTCGAGCCCTTTTTTTAGTATTTTTTTTTAAAAATACGTAAATTTAAATTAGAATAATTGCACTCATGAATTTTTATTCAAATAACCAGTTCAGTTTTTTCTATTATGTCAATAAGATCAAAAAATATTCTTCATGTTTCATCAGTATGTAATTTGTATCTAAATATAATTTCCAAAAAAAAAACCGAGGAAAGCTCGGTCATCCAGGTACTAAAATATAAATAAAGAAGTAATAACGTTTTTTGGGTCGACTTGTTTTGGTGTTCTTTTTTATAGGATAGAGTGACAAACGAGCACACCGTCCATCTGATGGTAAGTGTTTGCTGTGGCCCATAGACGTCTACATCTACCCTCGATTACGAATCAAACTGCATTTTGATTCATTGCGTTGTCACCACTGAGGACTAAGATGTAATGCAGTTAAACAGTAAAAACAGTGTCTGGTTCTGTATACTCCCCAAACGAAACACATCAGCGTTAAACTACTATTTCACGCTGGTATTCTATGAGAGCGTGGTCCTTCCCCGGCCGAGCCTACCCATTCGTGCTTCAACTATGCTGCAGCATGGCTCTACCGCGTATAAAGCACAGGCACAGATCCTGATATCCTTTTACTTTATTTTAATTTAAAAATAAAGTTACGTAAACAGTTTGTGGTTTAAAAACAAAGCAATCTTTTGATTTTACGATAGCAGTTTTAATCACATTGTTATATTTTATATACTTGCGACAAAAACTTTTTACTCTTACTTAGTAAATGCGTCAGGCTATAATTTAAAGTTTCAAATTGATAGTTAATTGATAGACGTTTTAATATTTTTTCGGAGTGTTACTTAAAATTTTAATTATATATTTTATATAGTTATAAAAGTGAATATAAGTGTACATATTTCATAATTTTTATGCTTTGCACATTTGCATTTTTATATTAAGTAGCTAGTAAGTTTTTTCTACTGGGCTTTCTACTGACTTCTACTTAAATATCACAGTTACTATTTATAACGTAAAGTTCGTATTTTCTCATTTTTAATATTTTGATATCCTTTAATAATTCTAGTATTCCGATGGTGAGAAGCCTTCACAATGTTTTAGAGATTAGAAATCGGGCTAGCACGAAACACATTTGGCTTCATACCTAATTAAACGCTCGAACCATACCCTTCTTGGTCTCGCTTTTATCGGCGTATTATCGCTAAAACGTCGCCATTCCACCTTTCTGCGCCGTATTCGTGCGTACTAAACTTGCTGCGTACCGATCTACGAAAGCTAACGACCATACGTGTAGGTATATCTTTTGATCTTAGCAGTCAACCAGAGCAGAAAGTTTGCGTTGCAAAAAGGAATTTATGATGCTAGTATAAGGTGCAAAGTTAAATTTGCAATACACATTATACGTTGTCAATCATAAGCTATAACAGCGTTGTGTGGGCTTTAGGCATGTGTAAGTTGCATACAAACGTGTCATTGGATGTAATGAGCCAAAATGTTTGCTCAAATATAAATGAAAATATATTATATGGAAAGTTATTTTATGTAAAATAAAATTATTTTTAAAATAAAATCATTTTCGTTTTAGATAAGAGTTATTTATAGAATAAAATACAAAAATAACCAATGAAAGTAACTGTGGTTTAAATAAAATGGTTCAAATGTTTCATGTATATATTCAGTCAGATTTTAATTTAATTAATAGAATAACTTTTACGTGCAACTAAAAACCAGACGTTTTCAATATAAGTATTACAAAAAAGTTTTAGCGTTGATTGTACAATAAATCTCTTCGTGTTAGAGAGAAAAAAAGTATTAAGCAAAAAAACACAAATTATTTATTAAGTCTTGACTAAATTTCTGTAGAATTTTATAAAATCGTTACAATTTAATTATAATAATTATATGACTATAATATATTTTTACAGCTTTATTTCGCTACGCTCATATTTAACCCTGTAAGAGTACTAGGACGAGTAGGTATCACGAGAGGTCTCATTTAGAAAATTACCTTTTTAATACAGGTCCTGGCCGAACAATGGCAAAGTTCAAATGAACGCTGCCGGCTCTTCTTGTTCTCTTGTTGTTGACATGCTTTTGAAACTCGCACGGATTTATAATTACACGGCTCATAACCTGCGTAGAAAAGAGAATGTTAACTACGGTTACGCGATTTTGAACATAATTGCTTGTGTTTTGAGAAAGATATTTGCTTAAATTTTGCTTATTTAGTGGATTCTTGTAATGAATCTCATTACTTTGAATTTTTCGTGTGCCCTTTAGTTTTAAAAATATTCTTATGTGGTTTAATTTTCATTATTTTTCTCTACGAGTCCTTGAAGAGGCATTAAGTTATAGGTTTTGGTTCGGGTATATCTTAACGCGTTTTCTTCTAAACACAGTTCACAGGTTTTAAAGCGTTATGCTTAAGAGGTGAGAGTAAGTCAGCTCAAATTCTAATTTCGCCCCCACTTCCCCGCGCGTCGTATGCTATGTACCGACATGTTTGTAATCACTAATACTCTAAGTAGATAGGTCGTTAGATACTTATTTCATTAGGTTTATCATATTTATGCCTGTTTCTTAACGCCAACCCAGTCGCTTCTTATTTTTATTACGGTTATTTACCATTTTAATTTTAAGTCTTAATGTTGCGTAATGTGTTTACTGATAGTAAGGGACAAAACTTCTCCCTTCAAAAGCCGGAGCAATACTAATGGAGCGACAGGAATCAAGCTTACGCGTCGATAGTTTAGGTAATTTCTTTTTACAGTGAAAATAATGGTATTTTAAAAAAAGTAAATAACATAAGCACTGCTTTATAGTTAGTTCGGTTAGTATGCAAAGTTTCATGATCTTATTTAAAGTATTTTATGAATAGCAGCGGTTTATTGTTCAGTTTGGAGGTAACTTTGGATTTTTTTTCTATCGAGAAAATTTTACGGAATCGTGTTTTCGTCTAACATAAACCTTAACATTAATCCTCAACTTTACCATATATTTATTTCAAAATTAATGCTGCAATACTTTCGGCATAACGGAGGATCTTGCTAAGCCATATTTATAATATATATATAAGTTATATTTCCCCTTAACCACGTGTCTTTGTGATGTATATTCGAACGACCATCTTGTTTTATTCTTACATTATAAGTTATATCAATGATACCCACCTTTTTTCTTATTTATAAACGATCGCTTCGAAAGAGTGAATTTGTAACAAATAAAATTTTATATTGATAATTGATATTCTATTTAGTTTATGCCCAAATTTTCAAACGCTACTCAATTTTAAGACGTCGCTAAGTCTAGCGGTGTCACAATCACATTGACTCAAAGTGATAGAGACAGCATTTGACAGACAGAGATAGACAATATTTGGCCATTAGCATAAGAGGTCTAAACAGATGCACTAGCAACTGTTCTTTCTATATATGCTATTACTATTAATATAAGATTAGCTGTAACAAACAACCACACAACTCATTTAATAGATAGAGATTGAGTAGTACTCGGAAGTTATGTTCAACGAAGAA